GTCTATAGAGATAGGACTAAAACCTCATTGTTGTATCATCACATGACATGTACATAGATAGCAGTACTGATATAGTAATCCACTATTAAAGATGAAGCGTGTACATGTACGAGAGATTACTCCTATACACTATAGAGCCATGGTTACATCATGGTTTGACAGATCATAGTTTGTCTCTATGGGAGAATCTGAAATCCATAAACTTGGATTACATCCCCTAGCCTATTTATTGACTTTGGCAGTCCAATTATGAGCCCTTACAGTAAACTGTGGGTCATGAGAACTACTGTGACAATTTGAGAAAGCTAGTGTAAACCATGGTTCATAGTTGAAGGTGGAGTGCTCCTATACGTTGATTAAATCCTAGACCTATTCGGATCTGATTCCCATCAAAATTAATTTCATTTAATTAATTTTATATTATTTTATTTTTAAAATGTTTATTTGAATTTTTATGAATCTTTTGATATTTTAATTTTGTCATTTGGATTTATAAATCAATAGAAATTCATTTCTAAAGTTTTAAATAAACTAAGAGGCTTGAAAAATCTAAAAATCAATTTTTATTGTTTCTAAAATATGTGGGATCCTCCATAATTATTGAAACCCATTTAAATCATATGGGACAATTGGGTGGGGCCCATGAGTGGCCACCAAAGGGTGGCACGCCCCACCCATGGGGGATTGCCTTTTCTTAATAAATATTGTGAGAAGCATCTCATGTTAATTGGCTTTCCATTTTCAGAGAGAAACCTACTTGCATTAAGGAATGATAATATTGAGTTTTAGAATATCTTATTGATCAAGAAGATTTGATTTGAAAAATAATGAATGAATATTTACTAATAGAGAAAGTAAAGAGTTAATTTCTTTATTTAACTTATTTGATGGGAATATTTTTAAGAAGGCTAGGATAAGGTTCTAGTACCTTTATTAGCATCTTGATGGTGGATCTAGAGAATGAATGGCTCACATCTCTCACCCCACGTGTATCTTTAGATCAACGGTTAAGATTTACTCCTACGATTTTATGCCGAAACTTAATGCATAAAAATCTATATAAGAGATCATTCTCCTCCGTTATCTCTATGCCTCTTACTTACTCTATCTTCTCTCTCTAAAATAGAATCTATCTCTAGCCTCTCTAAGGGACAGTCCCCACATAGGTTACTCTATCCCTCTCACAAACTATCCTAAGGGGGCATGCCCAAGCTAAGCTAGGTTAAGCTTTAATCTCTCTGATGGTTTATAAATCAAGCTATGTTTTGGTTATGTGATTTTGTAGGCAACAAATGGATCATCCCTAGCTAGTAGTTTTCTCTTTCCTTTTTTAATTTCTCTCTCTCATAAGCATCAAGCCATGGGGCTTGAAATAGGCTAAGCATTGAGACTTTAGGTGGGTGATTTTAGATTGAGATCCATGTGCATCGTTTGGTTTTTGCCATAAGAAGGAAAAATCAAGAGACCGATCAAATAACTCGAGCATCATAGGAAGAAGGAGACTTGGCATGGGGTGTATTAAACCCGGTTGAGATAATCTCTAGTACCCTCTTTTGTTTCTTCCATAGTTATTTATTGTGTCTTTTATTCCCAAACATAGGTTGTTTTTTTTCTTTGTTGTTGAAAAAAAAGTTTTGAATGGTTTCAAGTTCTTGAGATCTTATTGTATTCTTTTATTTTATTTTATTTAAAGTTGTTATATTGTAAAATGACTTCTTGTGAGTGATCTAGACCGTGAAGAAAAGAAAAAAATTAAAAATAATAAAAAAATTATTATATACTCCGGCTAGATCATACGTGTCCTTTCAAGTTTGAAAGTAGCAAAGCATAAGCATGATCACATGGGTCTAAGACACGTACAATGTTACAAGGAATTGTGTACTTTTAAGACTATTAATTTTTAGTACAATGAGCTTCAAATTAGTCCTGGCTGGTTGTGAAATTCGACGGCTTAAGATGTGTCATGAAGTTTAAAAAAAATATTTGAACTTTGTGCCTAGTTAATAGCTCACGCTCAACTACCAAATTCGACATAAAAAATGCTATAATGTTTGCGGCCTCTTTATAAAAAAAGTAAGTAATATTGATTATATACTTTTCCATGCTACAATGCCCCCCTATGGATCAGTCATCCGTACAAGGAATGTGTTATATTCAAGTTCGCAGCCCAAAATATACATGATAAGGCATTTTATGCTAACAGTTATGTTTCCTACATTTTTGCCAGCATCACATCGACCGTTTAATATCAACACGGGACGAACAAGTTTGTTTTTTGTTTTTTTGTTTTGTATGACACTAAACAAGTAGGTGTTTGTCGTGGTATCGTATACGTTAGTATTAATACCGATGAAAAATTTACAGGAGATGTGACGGACATCGTGTGACACAATATTTACAAAGATCCTCACTATAAATCTCTTTTTATTTATCTATATGTATTGAGATCTTATTACATGTGCTCTAGCTCGCGATGGTCCATTGAGAAATTGTGTTTCTCATTTTTCAAAAGAAAATTTACAAAAATTTCCAGTTTAATTTTTTAAATTTAAAGATGGTCCCATATTTTTCAAATTTTACACCCGAAGTCCTACTTTTCAAAATTTGGCATATCTACGCTTCTAACCATCACACAACTATATAAAATATTTTAAATAATTTAAAATAAATAAATTTATTAAAACAACCCTGAATATTGTATGCATATTTTCTTCATTTATTATTTTTAAACATTTTTGTAGTTTTGTGATGGTGAGAACTGAGAAATATAGACACATCAAATTTGAGATTAATCCAATGTATAAAAATAAAATTAAAATTAAAATACACTTTATGCACTCAAAAAATAAAACTTGATGTAAAACACAAAATAAACAAAAGAGATAGGTTCTATACCACTCGTAGTAATTCTCTCTGGAAGTCACCTCTGAACTCCAATAGGCTACATTCGAACTAAACGAGAGTCATGGCCACTCATTGTATAGAGCGACTGTTATAGGAATTTTTTTTTTTTACGAATATTATAACCTTTTATTGAATATCGGGAAAAATTATAGGACATTTATTGGACACTTAGATTGGGTGAAGACGACTTTTGTTAAATTTCAAAAACTAAAACATGATTTTCTTAAATATCCCAATTTCAATTTCAAATATTATGCGCAAGTGTATTATCTTGTCTTCCATGACAATATTCCGCATCTTCATACTATCACGCGTAGTGCACCTTGAATCGAAGAAAATGGCAATATCTTCCATGTGACTAGAATTAAGGTGGGGAACAATACTCGCTAAAGCTTGTCTGAGGTCTTGTTTTAATTATTCTTTTAGAACTAATTGGTTAAGAGACTTCGTACATTTAAATTTACCAATGATTTAAAAAATGGATCGGTAACTAGGATCAGGCATCGCAAAAACCAGTCAAGATCGTTGAATCGACAGCTAGGATCACCAATTTACTGTGCAAAAAAAAATAATAAACCGGCGAAAAAACACATACGAAAACAATGAACTGGCCAAGAACCAATCCAAATCAATTAATCAATGTTTGTGTTTAGCAAAACACCATTTTACTATAGCAAATTGCCAATTCTACGATTTTCTATATATACCGACTCTTGAGTTGAACCGGGTGATTTGATGCTGACCTAACTTTTTTAAATCACTATAATTTACTATAGCTCAGGTGCTAAATCTCGTAACCTATCACAAAAAGAGGGCCATGAGTTTTTATGTTGGTCTTTTACAATAAACACCTTTTTTCTTTCTTTTTTTTTTGTGGTAATTTAGTAGGGAATACAGGCCCCTATCCATTTTTTCAGATTAGGGAGTTAGCTTTTTTGAAAGTGCTAAGTAAGTGGTATCAACAGGATTTAAAATACCGGCCCCTACCCATTTTTTCAGATTAGGGAGTGAGCTTTTTTGAAAGTGCTAGTAAGTAGTGTCAGCAAGATTGAAAACCACAATGTGGCAACTAGGCATGGGGGTGCTACCACCACGACCCCACCCCTTGTCCACAATAAACACCTATTGCAGCGTTGAAAAGGGCTATTTTTGCATTGTACTGGTGATTGGGAGCCTCATTAACAAGCTACCTACCGATAGACAATGATCTCACGCGCCTACGTGATCCAGACCGTAAATCCAATTATCAGCCAAATCTAAATCACATTTATTAACAAAATCAAGATGGATACCAAATTTCATTTTTAATGTCCAAAAAAAAACAAAAAACAAAAAACAAAAAAAAACACAAGATGGAACCCACACAGTAGTAAAAAACAAGATGGAACCCACACAGTAGTTGAGATTGGACAATCAATGGACCCACTGTCCATGTGCATGTCATGTGTGTCCAGTCTAAGATCTGTGTTTTTGTGTAGGTATGTGTATTCCATTATTTGTAGACAGATATTTGGAGTCTTAAATCCTCTTTTAGTATCACAATAATGTTCCTTTGTCTCCACTCTCCTCTATAAAGAAATGAACAGGGATATCCAACCATTACTAACCTCTGCATCAAAATACTAAACCTTCTAAGTAGTTTAATCTTGTGCCATTAAAGCAAAGGCACACGGGCGCCAAATGGCCGTATGTGTCCAACCAGGGTTGCCTGAAATCGGACAAGCCCCAACTAGGCAGGGGCCCGATTCTGACTCCCCTAGACCAATTCCCAAGTGAGACTGCGTTAAACTTAGCAAGCAATTTAAGAACGAAGGAAATAACCATGAGGTTGGATGATTTCAGGGTCTTCTGGACTGAATCGCCCTCCTTGCAGTTCCAGTCCGACTTGCATTCCAAGTCGGATTGGAGATTTTTGAAACACTGCTCCCAACTAAGATATGTTACCTATCTTTTATATTGAAATTCTACAGGTTTTTCAACATTCCTAAGTTGAGAAGAGATTAACTAAACCACATCTGAAGTATTTCTTGATAGATGGCTAAACCAAGGGTAAAATCCCCATCTCCACATTTCAAAAGCTATAATACAGACAGATATTTCATAAATAACCACCACATGCATATTAACAGCATAAATTATAAACATCCATAATATGTCATTCAAATTACTAGTGAATTTTTGTGCCATCAAGACTGGAATCACTTATTAATAATATCAAACCCAACCTTTTTTTAAAATATTTACTGTAATATTTTTCGTACCAAGCGTTTCCTCGAAGCAAAGCAGTACAGCAAATAGACTCCACCCTCAGATGATGATAAGAATTTGCGTAGCTCCTACTCCAAATGTATTATAAATGGCCCTGTTTCTTGAGAGGAATAAAGCTTTGAGTTTAGTGTGCACGGTCCCTGAGCACTTCCAAGTCCATCTCAGTGGGATCAGTGGCCTGAATCTCATAGTGGATGCCATCAAGCTCTCGTCGGAATCGATCCTTGGAGGTTGCATAAAGCATCTTGGCTCGGATCCTAGAAATAGAGGGAGACCTGGTCCAAATCCAAACAGTTGATTCATAATATTAATACTGAATACTGATAAAAACAATGAAATCAGAACTCAACACAGCAGTCAAAAAGTCTCTCTCTCTCTCTCTC